TGCGGGTCGCTAGTTGGCATGTGCTTCCCGCAGGACGCGCACGGCTTAAAGCCAGGAGCCTTGGGCATGGGCCCGGCTGCGCGCCGGGGGGAAAAGGGGAAAAACACCCCCTAAACCCCCGATAACAACTTACAACTATATATATATACACTATAACTAACTACTAACTAACTTGAACAACTATCTATATAACTAAATACAACAAGAACAATGAAAGCTAGGGAGTGTGGAGATCAGCTAAGCCGCGCTCCACAGTTCCAACGACCGTCAGGGGCGGTAAGAAGGAACTGAGGGGGCGCTGGGTCGGCTGGGGTATATATCCAGCGCCATAACGGCGCCACTCTAGGGGGCTCCACAGCCGACCCACCGGGTGTTGCTAGGGTAAAAATCTTCCGACGATCGTGCACGCGGCGCGCACACACCTAACTGGAATGGATATGAGCAAGCACTCGAAGAAGAATACCAAGATTTGTCTTTTGCTGGAGGTCCCCCTTTAAAAGAGGAAGAAATGGATTAGGAGCCTCTAATCTTATCTGATGTGGTACAGTATAGAATTTTTAACAAATATATTTTACCAAAGTGTTTGTTAGGCATTTGAATTAAACAGGTGTCAACAGAAATCAAGAGAGTGTTTTAAACAGGCTGAATAAAAATTCCTTCCCCTGCCAATTAATCAGGTTTATCTTCCTGGTATCTCTGATATCATTTGTAACCATATGAGTTCTCCAGCCATCCATGTTGTCCCCTAGGAAAAATACAGCAGATGAGAGCTGAATTTCTAATGTAAAAAACAAGCAGGGAAAAACATTAAAAAAATACCTGTGGGCCTTCTGCATACATCGTTAAGAAACAAAAAGGAAACAACATTTTTGTTTTCTTTTATAGGTCATTTTTAAGACTGGCCAGCTCATTTTGAACAATTCAGAGCCCATAAGTTATTTTGTACCAGTGAGAAACATTTCCATATGTGACTGCATGGCTATATCTGTGATAACTGAAGAACTGTAATGAGCCTAATCACAGTGTATAGTGATGGGCAGCTTGGTTAATCTAAACTGCTTCATTTAGTGGCAGGTCCAAGACCCTCCCATTGTTTTCCTGATTATTTTCCTGATACAATTGGGTGGATTTGAACTGAATTGTTTCTGTGTAGAAACAGAAATAGATTTAAACTATGAGCCAATTGCTTCAGATAGTCCCAAACCAGAATTTTGTTGCACAGAATTCCCTCAGAAATATAGAAATTGCCATTCTGGATGAGACCAGTTGTCCATCTAAGTTAGGTATCCTGTCTCTAGCAGTAGTCAGCAGCAAATGCTTCAAGATGAAGGTACAAAAATCCTCACAATGAACAGTTATGGAATAACCAGCCCACAGTAGAAGTTTCTTCTTAAGCCTAATCTGTCAGTTGCTTATAGTCCATGTTTTATGCTTTGAAGCATATAGGTTTATATTCTTTATTCATATATGTGCAAGTTTTTCTGAATCCTGCTAAATACTTGCACTTTAATATCTTGTGTGAATGAGTTCCAGAGGTTAGCCATACATTCTGTAAAACAATTAAAAAAAAATCAGTTTTTAAGTTTGTCTTTTTCAATTTCATTGGACACTTCTTGTTCTGATATTATAAGACAATATAAGCATGTAATCCACCTTCTCTTTATAATGTTTATTATATATACCTCTATCATGGCCCCCCTCGTTTTCCTTGTAAAGAAGACAGTCAATCTTTTCAGTCATAGACTCTTAGACTTTAAGGTCAGAAGGGACCATTATGATCATCTAGTCTGACCTCCCGCATGATGCAGGCCACAAAAGCTGACCCACCCACTCCTGGAATAATTCTCTCCCTTGACTCAGCTGTTGAAGTCCCCAAATCATGATTTAAAGACTTCAAGTTGCAGAGAATCCTCCAGCAAGCGACCCTTGCCCCATGCTGCGGAGGAAGGCGAAAAACCTCAAGGGCCTCTGCCAATCTACCCTGGAGGAAAATTCCTTCCCGACCCCAAATATGGCGATCAGCAGAACCCTGAGCATGCGGGCAAGATTCTCCAGCCAGACCCTCATTGACCATTGATACTAATTACCAGCGATGGCACGTTATTGACCTATTGACTAAAATCATGTTATCCCATCAAACCATCCCCTCCATAAATTTATCAAGCTTAATCTTAAAGCCAGAGAGGTCTTTCGCCCCCACTGTTTCCCTCGGAAGGCTGTTCCAGAACTTCACCCCTCTGACGGTTAGAAACCGTCGTCTAATTTCAAGCCTAAAGTTCCCGACGGGCAGTTTATATCCATTTGTTCTCGTGTCCACATTAGTACTGAGCTGAAATAATTCCTCTCCCTCCCTGGTATTTATCCCTCTGATATATTTAAAGAGAGCAATCATATCCCCCCTCAGCCTTCTTTTGGTTAGGGTAAACAAACCGAGCTCCTCGAGTCTCCTTTCATAGGAAAGGTTTTCCATTCCTCGGATCATCCTAGTGGCCCTTCTCTGTACCCGTTCCAGTTTGAGTTCATCCTTTTTAAACATGGGAGACCAGAACTGCACACAGTACTCCAAATGAGGTCTCACCAGTGCCTTGTATAACGGAAGTAGCACCTCCTTAAATTATAAATTAATGGTGATATCCTATCACCTAGAACTGGAAGGGACCTTGCAAGGTCATTGAGTCCAGCCCCCTGCCTTCACTAGCAGGACCAAGTACTGATTTTTCCCCAGATCCGTAAGCAGCCCCCTCAAGGATTGAACTCACAACCCTGGGTTTAGCAGGCCAATGCTCACACCACTGAGCTATCCCTCCCCCCCTCCTTGTCCCTACTAGAAATACCTCGCCTAATGCATCCCAAGACCGCATTAGCTTTTTTCACGGCCACGTCACATTGCCGACTCATAGTCATCCTGCGGTCAACCAGGACTCCGAGGTCCTTCTCCTCCTCCGTTACTTCCAACCGATGCGTCCCCAGCTTATAACTAAAATTCTTGTTAGTCATCCCTAAATGCATCACCTTACACTTCTCACTATTAAATTTCATCCTATTACTATTACTCCAGTTTACAAGGTCATCCAAATCTCCCTGCAGGATATCCCGATCCTTCTCCGAATTGGCAATACCTCCCAACTTTGTGTCATCCGCAAACTTTATCAGCCCACTTCTACATTTGGTTCCGAGGTCAGTAATAAATAGATTAAATAAAATCGGACCCAAAACCGAACCTTGGGGAACTCCACTGGTAACCTCCCTCCAACCTGACAGTTCACCTTTCAGTACGACCCGCTGCAGTCTCCCCTTTAACCAGTTCTTTATCCACCTCTGGATTTTCATATCGATCCCCATCTTTTCCAATTTAACCAATAATTCCTCATGCGGTACCGTATCAAACGCTTTACTGAAATCGAGGTATATTAGATTCACCGCATTTCCTTTATCTAAAAAATCTGTTACTTTCTCAAAGAAGGAGATCAGGTTGGTTTGGCACAATCTTCCTTTCGTAAAACCATGTTGTAATTTGTCCCAATTGCCATTGACCTCAAGGTCCTTAACTACTTTCTCCTTCAAAATTTTTTCCAAGACCTTGCATATTACAGATGTTAAACTAGCAGGCCTGTAGTTACCCGGGTCACTTTTTTCCCCCTTCTTGAAAATAGGAACCACATTAGCTATTCTCCAGTCCAACGGTACCACCCCCGAGTTTACAGATTCATTAAAAATTATCGCTAAGGGGCTTGCAATTTCTCGCGCCAGTTCCTTTAATATTCTCGGATGAAGATCATCCGGTCCGCCCGATTTAGTCTCTTTGCCTCTAATTTTTATTCCTTACCTTTTGACCATCTTCTATTTCTGCTATAATGTTTTTATTGTGGAGCATCCAGAAATGAACAGTATGTCTTTATCTTGAGTATTATCAACTTAGAGTGGTGTTATGATATTTTCAGTAGTACTTTCTACCCTATTCTTCATGAAACCTAACAATTGCCTTCTGGTCCGCTGCTGGCCACTGAGCAGAGATTTTACAATGAGCTGTCCATGACACCCACGTCTTTCCCTGTGTGTTAATTTAGAAACCAGCTACGTGTATGAATAGATGCATTTAATCCTTCCAATGTTCATTACCTTGCACTTGTTTTCTAACTGACATCATTGTGTCCATTCATATACCTCCTCTAGTCTTGACTAGCTTTAGTAATTGTCTTACCTGAAAATTCTCATCTCATTCTTCTCTTTCTACAGATCCGTTATATATAAACCCAGGTCTTAGCTTGGATGGTAGGGACATCCAATTGTGAATTTCTTGCTTTGCAATATACAAAGGGAATGGATGTATGTGCATCCAGGAGCTAGATTCTGAGTCAGTGAACACTCATCACTTCACTCCAACCAGTAAACAAATTCATCAGCTTTTTATTTGTCTGTATTACACAGAAAAAAGATCAGTTCATGTTGATTCAGGAGTATAGAGTTGCCCTAGTTTCTTGATATAACTTCCACCTTTCCCAACTCAGGAGAAAGAAACAGTGAAGACATGTTTCAGACACTTTTAAATTTGCGTTTTCCTCTTTGCAGTACCTGCCATGATTGTGGTACTATAAACTTAGTTTAAGTTTTAATACAGTGGTTTCAAATGTGAGGCATCAATGCACTGATGCAGTGAAATTCTCCACAACAGTACAATAATTGCTTTTGCATTGCTTTAAGCACTTCTCTACCCTCTCCATTCCATTCCCTTTAGAAGAGTTTATTCCTTTTTGCCAATTTCTCCCTTTCCTTCTGCTCCTCAGCAGCAGCTCACTCATTCCGGGCTCTCTCACTGGGGCTTGGGAGGAATAAGATCTGTGGAGGCTGAGTGCAGCTCTCATTACTAGGCCTATTCATTTTAAGAAAAATACTTTGATCATAACCATGGCTTTGTAGTCAGCTAGTCACTTACACAAGCAGTTTTTGTTAATTTTACAGCCAGTTCTCTGGTTTCCCAGCCAAAAGCCATTTCCCTGCAGGACAGAGATTCTAAAATGAATCCTGTAGTTGGTGCTGGACTGACAGTGCTCGAGCCTTTACTTCTCTACAGAATAGCTGCAGAATGGACAGCTGCAGAGCAAGTTTCCCAACACAGACAGTCCCCTGCCAATGGATCTTAATCCTGACCTACTAAGATGACCTAGAAGTGAGAGGGGAGTTCAGGGTAGAGAGTACAGGTTCCATTCACTCCATGAATTCTTTACTGAGACTGCCAAAAAGAAGCAGAGTTTCAATGGTCATGGTGGTTTCTGTAATATGGACATTTGTATATCAGGAAACGGACTAAGAGCCCAACTTATTTCATACAGACTAGCTGTCATTACCAAACTAGGCTGCATTTGAACTGGGGATTTAGAGGTGAAAGACTCTCTTTCCCATTACCAATGTCCTGGGCATTCCAGGTCTCTAGTATGTATTTTTATTCTGGTTATCCAGAAGCACATTCTGCCATCACATTCAGCACAGTGTAACTGTCATCAGAGTTTATGAAACAGTTGTCTTTCTCTGTGGGGTTGTGTGTGTAATAGGGGAGGATTTTATGAAGCTTGTGACTTCCTCTCCTGCTGGAGCAATCAGGAATGCAGCAACTCTGACATCCCAACGACCGTGTCTTCTATTTCAACTTTTTATGTTGCTCTATGAAAACAGGCAGTTAAATTGGTCAGCTTCACTGTTCTGGTTTTGTGAGTTTCTTTGGAAATTGTGTGTCTGTGCCTTCCTTTGGCCATCCAGAATGGCTTGATGCTGGTCCCATTGGATGGTGTCATAATCACATGGAAAAATCATCTCTGATTGTTTTTGTCTGATTTTCCAGGACAAAGAAAATTCTCTCTCAGACTCTGAGATGGGAGATGATGAACAAGAGCTATCTCAGGAAATAAGATAATTTTAAACTATTCAGTAGGTTCTATTGAAACCCCACTAATCTCCTTATTTCTTGATACACAGGGGAAGCTAGTTCTTTGGCTTTCTCTGCTCCAGCCTGTAAAACCTTCTCCAAGTGAGATTTGTCCTCCTGGAGCCTCTTAATTTCGTTCCTGATTGGTGCAAATTTCTGAATAACTGCCTCTGCCACTATCCCTTTGTAGTGAGCAGTGTCAAGACCAACACACTGGTGCACCACTTCCTTTATGCTGAGTCCTGTTACTGCAGCATGAATGGTCACTAGATTGGAGACACCAGGACGAGAGTCTGGGTCATAGGTCACCTCAGAGGTGAAGTCAGTCACAGCCTTGCGGAATTTCAGAACAATCTCCTCTGGACTGTCTGTGATGTTGAGTGTGCCTAACTTCTGAGGGTCTGACTTGGACATCTTGGCTGTTGGATCCCTGAGAGACTTTATCTTCTTTGTTGTACCTAAAAACACAAACAGATAATGGTTTTCTATTAATGCTTATTTGGCACTTTTCTTAGGTGAATACTACAACCTATAGCAGGTTGCCCTGGCTGTTTGCCCTGCTTTAACAATTACTTTCCCAAGCATTACAAAATACACTCATCCTTGATCTTCATTCTCTCCCACCAAAAGCACCCCAGCCATTCCCCTTTCCCCCCATAATCACCCAAAGAACCTGAACCTAGTTCCCCTTCTCCCCAGTTACCTACTGCTGCTGGGATGATTCCCTGATATGGCTCTATGCTGATTTCCCTACCAATCCACCTCCTCCTTTAGGTACCTGGTATTGGCGAGGCGAGTAACCCAGGGAGCACAAACTAGAAGTGTGTGAGGGATCCCATAACAATGGGGAGCTGGGTCAGATCAGACTCCAGAGGAGAGTCTCAAAATGACCAGCCTCCTCACCATGAGAAGCTGTCCCACACAAGAAGCCCCTGAAACTCTCCTAGAGCTCCTTAGAAATAGCTCCCTCCCAGGTGTTATCTACTCAAAAACTAGGCAGGGGGAAAACATTGCTTAACTTTTGGCAGGGTGATAGGTGCCTTAGAAATAACTGAGACACATGCATGCATGCGAGACAGGATACCAGTATTATAAAGCACTTGACAACATTCATCTAGTTACACCACTCCATTAATTCACAGTCTCTTCCCATTATTATTATTATTATACACAAAATGCAGTATGAGCCATTGATCTAATTACTAGAATAGCATAGCACAGAATCACAATTGCACAGACATCACAGTATTTGTTCTCAAACTGCTCACAAGACACCGCACCAGTTTGTAACACCCAATATTCTCATGGGTGACCTCTCATTTTTAACTGGGGCTTTAAAGTGGAAAGAGGGCTACTAACGATATCCTGGCAGAGTAATCTTTTCTAAGGGGAGAACTCCCTGCTCCTGGGGGCTGCACATTCCTCTAGATTATGAACTAATGCAAAGATACCACACTTTTTCTGTACTCAGCTGCTCATGTTTCCTGCCACATGAGCCATTTGCTCTACAGAAAGATTCAGAAATTTTTCATGGCCTCATAATGCAAAAAATGGCTGAACACATTTTCCTCAAAATCTCCTAAGCTTTAGGCTGTGACCAAGAATGGAAAGTTTAGCTCCAATGAAGAGCCTTCTTGAAATTTACAAGCATATGTCAAAGCACCTAATGAACTTTTGTGTGCTATGGTAATGAAGGTAATAAAATAGAAACTGCTTTGCAACTTCAATTACAGCATTTACTACAAGCAAACACTATAGCGTTATGCTGGTTGGTGGTCTCTTATTCAACACCTTAACAGGAATCACAAATTGCTTCTTAATTGGCACCATCGAACATATTCTCTCCTCATGAGAGGCCCATGCCTGCAAGAGCAGGGGCTGTAACCAAGCAGGATTGAAAGGCAGTAGCAGAGCATTGGGGGGCGGGGGGGCAGGACTGGAATAGCAGATACTGTACACATTCCTTTCTGGGGGTTTTCAAAGCCCCATATTCATTATATTCTATTTGCCATCAACTTTGCCATCAGTTTGCCCCCTTTCCACAATTGCTCCCACATAGATTTACCTTACCTGTAAGTCAAACCTCAACCCTTAATAACACACTACAATCTAGTATTTAACCACACGTCTCCCTACTCACTTAAAATGGCTTTGGGCACAGGAAAGAAGTTTCCATATTTCTTGTTAAAGTGTTGTGCTATATCTCGAGCCAGTTCCAGGTGCAGGACTTGATCTTCTCCAACAGGAACATGTGTTGACCTTTTAATAAAAGACAGATACAGGAAACTCAGCAAAATTCTCTGGTTCTATTGAAACGTTACCTGAGACTGTCACAGCTCCTGCCATAGTTGAGGGCCAGACGGAGCCAAATGTTCAATCACAGCTAACTCACTCTCTTCTGGGTGAACAAGATTCCATACGGCTCCTGTCTAATACGGTTCTGCTGTGTCTGATGGGATGAAATGCAGATTCAGCAGCAAAAGAACAGCCTTTTACCAAAGTTTGAACGCAAATGGGAAATATACCAGAAAGAGTAACAATACTGGCATGTACACTTGCATTCTGCAAGCATCTCCCACTTTCCATAAGATTTCTACTACCCACAGTCTTCTATTCATTCGTGGATTTTAAGGACAGAAGGGACCGTTTGATCATCTAGTCTGATCTCTTGTATAACATAGGTCATACAAATTTATTCAATTACTGCTGTGTTGAAGCCCAATAACTTGTGTTTGGCTAAAGCATATCTTCCATAATGACATCCAGTCTTGTTTTGAAGACTTTAAGAGATGGAGAATCCATCACTTTCCCTGGTGTTATTTTCCAATGATTAATAGCCCTCACTGTTAATCTGTGATTTTTTAGATGAGATATAGACTTGAAATCATGTCCTCTTTTGTTTATTAAAGCTTCCACTGCACTTTTTAAAGAGTTGGTGTATGTTAAACCAAGTCCTGGCCAAATTCTAATTTACATTCTGCGTCTCTAAATACCCAGACAATTTCAATTCAATATGGTATTCTTTATTTATGATCCTAAACTACAGGGGGTCAATCTCTTCACCCTTCTACCCACCAAAGAGTAATCAGGACAAGCTAAAAACCTGTTACAGTAGCCCATAGGAAATCACAGTGTCTTACAACACAGAAAAAACAGTTACCTTAATCAATACACTTAAGCAGCCCAAAAGGAACATTTCCATATGCCAAAATGGTTCCAGAATCACAAAGTTATCCCACTGACCCGAAAACATATTGTGTTTCTATAAAGGCCTCTGCATGACTTCCTTTCTTTCTGATTTTCTTTTGTTAGTTTTCTTGCTGTCTTTGCTCCTGCTTCTCACATGCTATTTATTTACCTTCTATTAATTTACTTTTTTTTCTTCTCCCTAATCCTCTTTTTCCTCCTAGGTCACTTCAGTTGGTTTTGTTTCTCCCTCGCTTCCTCCCCCTAATTCATTTATTTTGTTTGTGGTATTTTATTTGCTGAATCTTTTCTGCCATTTTTATGTGTTCTTATTTCCGCAGTTAGTTTTGCTTTGTACCATTTCAGCGTCTGCTTTTCCTGCTCTTCCTTCTATGACTGCTGCTCCTTTCCTAATTATCCATTTTCTCTTGCCTCTTGTCCCATTTCCTATAATTTTGAATATAAAAGATCTCTCTTGATAAATATATATCTTTTAATATATGTGCTCTCTCTCTCACACCTCCTTATTTTGTCATCTATTTTCAGTCAGCCAGGACTTAACATGCAAAAATTGAGCTAAAATGAGCACTGATAATCAAAAGTACAGAATCTTATTACACAGAGATGGGAAAGGTCTAGGTAGTTCAGTCCATCGCAGGGCCCAGTGCAGAATGGTTTCTGATAGTGAGGTTGCCAGTGTTTTGTTTATTAAAATTACTTTAATTGATGGGGCTTCTATTATTCCCCTTGGGGAACTATTCAACTATCAAACAGATCTCAGTTAAGAAGTTTTTTCTAATATTCAAATTACATTTTCCCTTTACTTTTACCCCAATATTCCTAATTATGATACATATAAACTAGCAATATCATCCCTAAGTCTTTTGACATGACTGTTTTCCCTCCCATTGACTCTATGCTTTGGATTATTTTACCCGAGATGTATTTTTCAGGCAGAAGCCTTGTTATTCCTGCCTACTCTATAGTCCCAAACCCTCCATGCCCTTTTGTATCATTTCTTTGTCCTCACAGGAGTTGACGAACCCACACAACTCAATATAATCTGCAAACATAATGTACTATTGGAGATTCATTAAGATTTTACATATTACCTGACTTAACTATGCTTCATTCACAGATGCAACCTTCCTCCACATTACTAGCTCTTGATCTCAGTCTCATGAGTCAGCCTAGGAACTAAAATCTCAGCAGTGTATGGGGAGAATAGAGTGTAGAGTGGAACCATCAAGAAGCTGGAGTGAAGTGGTTTAGGAGTCAGGCTGCTAGCACTGGGTAAGTGGGCAGGGAGAAGAAGAGGGATTAGGTTTACAAGAGATGTGCGGGAAGAACCAGGAAAAAAAGAATGAGTAACTGAAAGAAGGATATTGTCTACATTTCCTCAGTACAGTAAACTTCTCCTCAGGGATGTAAAAAAGAGTTAAAATGTGAAAAAAAAATGCTACTTCATAGTTTCCCAATTTGCAGAAGACTTCTTCAAATATTGTGCCATATGGCTACATGACATCCTGATGGTGCCAGGCATTACACCTCATGTCAAAGCTGGGACCTCTGCTAATCTTACATCGAAGATAATTGACTAGTATAGAACTATGCTTCTGTAATGGGTCTCAACTTTCTCATGAAGGCAACACATGAGGTTTAGCTTCCCCTTTGTGCAGAGAACTCCTCCCCCATCGACACAGCATAATCTACGCCAGAACTTGAAAAAAATGTAAATGAATTTAATAGTGGTGTAAAGTGCCCAACTGAAAGGTCTGGACACTAAATCTCTCTAGCTTCATAGCAGGTCCATCATGGGAAGTAACAACATGAATCAGCCCTGATCTTGAGGATCCACAACTAGTTTAGTCTCTGTGGCCCATTCAGTCAATCAATCCAACGCAACAGCTAAATGGGTCAATTGGTGTTAGTTTTATTGGTGATTTCAGGGACATGCACTAAATTGATCTGAGGTGACCAACTCTTCTTCTTAGACAATACCATCCAATGGCTTTCTAGTGGCCTGATATTTAACCACTATCAACCTGAGCAAGATTTTAATCAGTGACTGAAAGACGAAAAGGTTTCATCCATTCCCAATCCTCTCAGCTATTCACGCCCCTTGGTATTTAACACGTTGACCCAAAGAACTTTCATCTTACAGCAGTTGAACAGACGTTGCCTGTGGGCTCACATTCTGTCTCTTACTTGTACAGCAGAATATCTGCAGCTTGAAGCACAGGGTATGTGAACAGACCAACGGTTCCTTCATAATTCTGGCTGGCATTCTTTACCTGTTTGCAAAAGAAAGACATAGGGAAATCATCCATTTGGCTAATGATGTCAACGTCTGATTTTGATTTTTTTGGTTTTAAGTTTCAGTTAGTGAGTCTGCTTCGTTCACTGACTGTGTCATTCTAGCAAAGAAGCATTCCTAATAGAATTCGTGCTTTTTCAATGCTCAGTGCTACTTACTGCTCATGGATCCGTTATTTTCTAGATATATTTATAGATCTCGTCTCATAATATTTGTTCTGTTATTTTACTAGGGAGATATATTAGATGTGTGGGATGGTAACAGCCAAACTCACTCCTTTTTTGTTTTTGTTTGTTGGAAGACTGGTATGCAGCACTTGTTTTTATACAAAGTCCTGGTACCCTCCAGATTAACCCACCTTTTTGTAAATAGTTATCAAAGGTTCAAAAGTTCAATACCTAATTCCTTTATCACCCTAGATGCATATCATCTGGACCAGCTGTTCTGTAGATGTTCAAGTATCTAGTTTCCTGCTTTTTGTTTTAACTGTAGCTACATTTAAAAAAATCCTTAAAATCTGTCCAGACTTCCTCATATTTTCCTATATCTTTTTCCTCTCCCCTTCATCCAGATCATACTCTCCTGTCTCCATCTCCAGGCTCTTAAATACGGGGGACCTGATGCCAAGCACCTGCAGCTCCTATTTGTGGGTTTTAAAAGTCCAACCACTTATACTTAGATGCCTAAATATGGCTTTACAAGTCTAACTTGAGAAACTCAGGTTTGAAAAGCTTGGCTTTAATCTAAGTTTTGCATTAACACTATTTGTTGCATTTAAATTTGAATGAGTTTATTTAATTAAGAAGAAAAAACAGGAAGGGGGAAAAAACCACCCACAAACATCTGGAGGTATTTAGCCTGCTCCAGTTGTGAACTCTGCGAACCAAATTGCTCCGGATTCTTTTTTTCTTCTCATTGTTTGTCTCTCTCCTGATTCCTTGTCTTTCAGGTTCGGGGCCCCTTGCCACACCCCAATACAGGTAGCACCATAGGGTCGGCCCAGTCTAGGCCCCAGCCTCTTAGCCCCACCCCACCCTTGCAGGCCTTCTTACTTGGTTTATGGGTGGGGAAAAGCAAAAGTTCAAATTCAACAGAGAAGCCACTCCTGGGGTCAGGTCAGTGACACCACCTTACTTCAGGGGTGCCTAGAGAGCAGCTTTACTGGAGTTCTTCCAGCCAGGTAGCCCAATCACTCTCTTCCTGCCAGGCTTGCCTCTGGGGCTCATTGGACTCTTCCCAGAGAGGTGGTGATATCTAAACAGTCAAGTTAAGGCCTCTCTGACCCTCCTATAGTCCTGGGCTGCTGCCAAATCAAGTTCATGGCATTCAGTTTGAGCCGGTCCTGACAGATGGCACCAATAGCATGGCTCTGAGGACCACGCCACGGCAGATGCCACCTGCTCAAAAGTAGTGAAAAATGCCTTGGGGTCACTGGTGGTGCCCATCTTAGACAGCTTCACAGGGATGGGTGTTGAGTTGGGGGGCCCAGGGTTAGTGGCCACCACAGCCCTGGGTGACTCTAGAGGTTGGAGAACTGACAGCATCTGTTGCTCCAGGTTCTGTTGTTGAGGTTGGCGTGTGGCTAATTCCCTTATCAGCTATTGCTGCTGCTGCCCCAGCTGTTGCTGGATTGCAAGTTCTTGAAGCAGCTGCTGCTGTTTTTGTTGTAGGGTGGCCTGGTGCTGCTGGTTTTCTGTGGCGCATTTTAACAGCCATTCCAGATCCATTACAAGGTTGTTTCTGTCAGGATTTTCTCAATCTCAAACCTCTCCTCTCCTTTTCCCCACTCCCTGCCCCCTTTTCCTCTCCCTTTCAGCAGAGCTGATCAAGTGCCCGCATTCTCCACCACTTGTAAGAGATTCTTTCTGGGGCACTTCTCTAGTTGGGTCAGGGCCCCTTGCCATGCCTAGTTACCGCCACAGGGTCAGCCCAGTCAAGACCTCAGCCTCTTAGCCCTTGCAGTGGGCCCCACCCTGGCAGACGTCTTACTTTGTTTATGGGTGAAGAAAAGCAAAAGTTCAAAGTCAACAAAGAAGCCCCTCCAGGGGTCAACAATAAAAAAAGGTCAGTGGCACCACCTTACTTCAGGGATGCCTGGGTAGCAGCTTTACCGGAGTCCTTTGGGCTAGATAGCCCAATCACACTCTCCTTGCCAGGCTTGCTCCTGGGGCTCACTGGACTCTTCCCAGAGCTGGGGGTCTCGGGCATGGTGGAGGTTCCTCCTGCTGCTTCAGGAGACTCTCCAGCCGCTCCATTCTCAGGGCTTCCCCCTTGCTGACTGCAGCTTCCTCCTCTGAACACTTTCCGCCCTACCATGCATGGTTGGAAGGGCCAGAGAGGTGGGGCTACCTTAGCACTGAACCTCCCTAGCACCTTCCCTGTCAGTGTGGGGTTTATACACCCCAGCACACTTCTGATTTCTCTTCTTGTTAAAGAAAACACACAGAAATTAAATGCAAAAAATAGCGTTGATGCAATACTAAGAAATTAAGCACATATGTCATGAATGGCAAAAGGGAAGATTTTTCAGAGCATCAACTCAGCCACAGTCATCTTTAGTAATGTTTATTTCTGTATCCCTTTTAAAATGTAAACCTTAATATATTCCATACCATACAACACACAGAATAGCTAACTAATGTTACAGAAGACTTACTTATGGAATTTCCTTACTTGTGACTGCTTGATTTTTTAGCCTTAATGTTGTGTTGTAGTTATTGCATTTTATTATTTTACTAGGCTTGAAATAAGAACTTTAAGCATTTTGATAAATGATTAAAAATACCAGTCTATAATTGAAAACCTTCTTTAACTGCCTCTGTATTCTCTGCTTATACAGGTATGCTACTTTGTAACCTCCCACAGCAGCAGCCTCACTGACTCACAATATAGTTATGTCTCCTATAGTAATAGCATTGTACGGGGTTGTTTTCTTTCCTCTTCCTGAAGTGACTCCATCACCTTTTAGTAAGAATGACTGGCCCAGTGTTTATGGTCCACAGGCAACAGAAATTTTTACAAGAAGGACAATACTGTTATTAAATTTCCTTAAATCTCCTTTTAGTTTAATATGCTGATCATACAAACCTTACCTTCCACTGCGGAAAGCTTTGTATACGTGGCATACTAGTTAAGCACCCAAGAATCCAACCGAGTTCTGCATGTTCAGGCACCTAAAAAAAAAAAGCCATAAGAAATCAGAATTGGTTGAATGTATTTTCACCTGCACACATCATTTCAAGAGAAAGTACAGCCAGTAAAGGCTACCAAACCAGAGATTAGTAAGATTAGTTTATTTTTGGCTATCATTTTTTCAGTGAGTTTAGTGCTGGTGAGAAGTAACAGAGAGCCCTGGTGACTGAAGAACCTATATTGATCCATAGTACAAGTACAACTCCTGCAGCAGCAGTACAAGCTTCCCCACCCTACCTGGTCAGCCTGCCCTAACTGACCAAGGAAGAAAACTGTGGAGGTGAGACAGGTTTTTAATTTTCATGTTCATTCAGATCTTGGCCTTTATGCTGAGAATTCCAAGTACCTTGAGGCAGTGGGCTAGGGATTACAGCACAGGACTGTTAGTCAGATCCCCTTGCTTCTAGTCCTAGCTCCAACATTAATTTGCTGTGGGAGTCAAACACATCTCTGTGCTTCAGTTGTCCTGTCTGTAAAATGGGGGCACCTAGACCTCTTAAGTATTCTGGATTTTTGTGGAATGTTCTACATTTTGGGTTAATCAGCCTGCCTGTTCTGCAGCACCAAAGACAGGAGATGTTTTGCAAATGAAAGAGGAAGACTGACTCAAAATATCGATTGACTTAGGGAAGGATGCATGGGGCAGAGAGCCAGGATGCCATATCTAATGTGGGACTACAACCATCAAAATGCCTTCAGGAAATGAAATGATGCACACATTTTAGCATCTGTAAGACTAGATTAGATGATTTTTAGATATATTTTAGATTTTTTTCTTTCTTAATGGTGTCACTCACTACAGGGCAGAGTTAAGGTTGTTTGGTGCCCTCACATTTCTACACCTTAACGTGTTAAACTTTAACAGGAATCCTAACCTTAATTTTGAATTTCCTGGGTTTATAATGCATGTTTTGGAAATAATTACAACATTGCTGTATTAAAACCCCCCACCATGAATCACTGATGTGTATTCTCAATCTTAACTCCATTTTAACAGTTTTTGTCTGGAGGTAATTTATGAGGTACAATGTGAGGTGCAACAAAACACAGGTGTTCCACTTCTGGTCATTTGCCACACATTTCAGTTGCCTCTGTCACATGCTGGCAGGTCTGAAGGTTGAGAGGTATGATAATACCTAGGACAGAGGGGTTGAGAAACTTAATGCTTGTGTTTCGATCTAAGAGCTCAGATAAAAAGCATTAAAAAGTGCTTATTAACTAGTGGGACAATTACTAATATCATCTGCAGAAATCATTTTGGTGTTGTACGTAGACTTGGAAAAGGACCAATTCCATCACTGACTAAATTTAATATCCATCAAATAGCCCTAAGATTGTAATTACTTTTGGTCACTAATGTTATGGTCCACAGCTGAACTGATGACCTGAAGTGAATAGCTCAGGAACTGATTACAATGACATGAAGCCTCCCAGACCTTCTCTTTTTTGATTCCTTCATGTTCATTTGCCTGCCTGGCTTTAGTACACAAGGCAAAGGGTGACAAGATGGCACCAAATGTGTCCTCTATGCAATATGCAATGTAAACTGAGCTGGATGGAACTGACTTAACCCATGCCTATTTCATTTAGGAGGAATCACCATCTGGTACAAAACAATTTATCGTTTCTTTCTTCTAGTCACAAAGAGGGGATGTTTTTCTGCTGCATTGGTGTTGACAAGGACTCTCTTCCAAAGCAACGGATTTCACGATATGCCTCTGTCATGCCTCCCTCCCACAACCAAGGCTGCATGTGCCTACTGTGCCAGTGGCTTTGACATCCCATGTGTTACTGGAACACTGAGCGATCAGCCATTCTGCAGCCCTGGCTCTAAGCAGTGAGTTACATTCACTTCTAGTCCCCAAAGCCAGATTCACATGAAGCATGGTCCATTATTAATACAAAGTGGTAAGAATACATCCTAGTGTAAAGAAGAAAGGCTGGGGGGGAGGAGGGAGGAAGCGCAAAGAAGCATGGAAGAAACAAAGAAAAACAATCACACAGGGTAAAATAAATAAAAGGCTTGTTAACTCATTGTCCCAATACTGCTTAGTATGCTCAGCAGTGATGGATTACAAAGAGCCAGAGCTGCAATCAGTGAAGTCAAGTAGTATCCTTGGAGGAACTTGATTTGTATAAATGGAATTAAATTCATTTAAAATTTTGCAGGAAGTCCTTCTCTATGCTACTAAACAAGGGACCATGGAGTTAATTCATATACAGGAACTCCTCACTTAAAGTCATCCCGGTTAACGTTGTTTCGATGTTAAGTTGCTGATCAATTAGGGAACATGCTCGTTTAAAGTTGTGAAATGCTCCCTTCTAACGTCATTTGGCAGCCGCCTGTTTTGTCCATTGCTTGCAGGAAGAGCAGCCCCTTGCAGCTAGCTGGTGGGTGGTTGGAACCAGGGTGGACCAGCAGCCCCTATCAGCTCCCCGTATCAGCGCCCCACTCCCCTAAGTTCCCTGTGCAGCAGCTGTCCCTCCCCCCACTGCCATGTGCTGCTCCTGCCTTCTGCCTTGGAGCTGCTCCCAGAGACTCCTGCTTGCTGTACCAGGGGAGGGGGGAAGATGGGGGCTAATGTCAGGGTGTCCCCCCTGCTCCTGCACCCCGCTTACCCCATCTTCCATAGAGCAGGGGGGACACACGACCAAGGGAGGGAGCTTCTAGGCAGTAGTTGCGGGTCTCAGGTCTCAGCAAGCTGATTTAATTAACAAGGCAGTGTACTTAAGCCTGGGGTCAGCTACTTAAAGGGGAAATGCGCATTCTCTCTCTCACACACAGGGTGTGTGTCTCTGTCTGCCCTCCCTACTTTCCTGCTGCCTTGTAGAGTGTTGTGAGAGTTAACCCTTGAGGGCTCAGTCAATTGCTAGTTCATTTAGCAGTAAGGCATTCCCTGGGAAATATCCCACCCTCTGACTCCTCCACCTCAACCAAGCTTCACAATCATCATCACTGTGTACCAGTATTAAATTGTTTGTTTAAAACTTATACTGTGTGTGTGTGTGTGTATATATATATAATATAGTCTTTTGTCTGGTGAAAAAAATGTCCCTGGAACCTAACCCCCTCATTTACATTAATTCTTATGGGGAACTTGGATTCACTTAACATCGTTTCGCTTAAAGTCACATTTTTCAGGAACATAACTACAACGTTAAGTGAGGAGTTCCTGTTATAGAAAGAAACAGTCAAAAGTAAAAAAGACATGCCCCATCTCTCTATCACTGTCAATTAATTTTCAATAGCTTTGTATCAAATTTCATAACATTTATCATGCTAATATTAATGAAGAGCAAGACCTTTGACACACAAACAGCTCATTCCACAAAGGGCAATAGCTTCAAAAAACTCTTTGATGAAGGTCCTGTTCTTTCTGAAAGAAGTAACTGAAATGCTGAGGATCCTTTCTAAAAACCTGGGAAACTAATACACAAAAACACAGTATTGTGTATCAGTTAAGGCTGTTCTATACATAAAATACTTCACATAAAATCTAGGGCTGTCAAGTGATTAAAAAAATTAATCACGATTTATTGCGCTGTTAATAATAGAATACAATTTATTTAAATATTTTTGGACGTTATCTACATTTTCAAATATATTGATTTCAATTACAACACAGATTGTACAGTGCTCACTTTATATTTATTTTTTATTACAAATATTTGCACTGTAAAAAACGAAATAGTATTTTTCAATTCACTTAATACAAGTACTGTAGTGCAATCTCATTATCATGAAAGTTGAACTTACAAATGTAGAATTGTGTACAAAAAATAATTGCATTCAAAATAAAACAATGTAAAACTTTAGAGCCTACAAGTCCATTCAGTCCTACTTCTTGTTCACCCAATTGCTCAGACAAACAAGTTTGTTTACATTTGCAGGAGATAATGCTGCCCACTTCTTATTTACAATGTCACCTGAAAGTGAGAACAAGCGTTCGCATGGCACTGTTGTAGCTGGCGTCGCAAGGTATTTACTTGCCAGATGCGCAAAAGATTCATATGTCCCTTCATGCTTCAACCACCATTCCAGAGGACATGCGTCCATGCTGAAATGGGTTCTGCTGGATAACGATCCAAAGCAGTGCGGACCGACACATGTTCATTTTAATAATCTGAGTCAGATGCCACCACCAGAAGGTTGATTTTGTTTTTTGGTGGTTCGGGATCTGTAGTTTCCGCATTGGAGTGGTAATCTTTTAAGACTTCTGAAAGCATGCTCAACACCTTGTCCCTCTCAGATTTTGGACGGCACTTCAGATACTTAAACCTTAGGTCAAGTGCTGTAGCTATCTTTAGAAATCTCACATTGGTACCTTCTTTGCATTTTGTCAAATCTGCAGTGAAAGTGTTCTTAAAACAAACAACACGCGCTGGGTCATCATCTGAGACTGCTAGAACATGAAATATATGGCAGAATGCAGGTAAAACAGAGCAGGAGACATACAAATTCTCCAAGGAGTTCAGTCACAAATTTAATTAACAATTTTTTTTTAACGAGCGTCATCACCATGAAAGCATGTCCTCTGGAATGGTGGCAGAAGCATGAAGGGGTATACGAATGTTTAGCATATCTGGCACGTAAATACCTTGCAATGCTGGCTACAAAAGTGCCATGTGAATGCCTGTTCTCACTTTCAGATGACATTGTAAACAAGAAGCGGGCAGCGTTATCTCCCATAAATATAAAGAAACCTGTTTGTCTTAGCGATTGGCTTAACAAGAAGTAGGACCGAGTGGCTCTGTAGGCGCTAAAGTTTTACATTGTTTTGTTCTTGAATGCAGTTATGTAACAAAAAATAATCTACATGTGTAAATTGCACTTTCACGATAAAGACATTGCACTACAGTACTTGTATGAGGTGAATTGAAAAATACGATTTCTTTTGTTTATCATTTTTACAGTGCAAATATTTGTAATAAAAATAATATAAAGTGAGCATTTTCTACTTTGTATTCTGTCTTGTAATTG